CTGGGACACCCTATATATTCTTTGGAAGAGAAAAGTACATTTTGTAAGAAAATTTTCAAATTAACGTTTGATGTCGATATTTGGCGTAAATCTCAAAAAAATGCAAGAGCAGAACAAGGAATGTCCACAAGTTTCACAATATTGTGATTCCGTGTATTCTTACCACTCTGTCACTGGGCATGCTTAAGTTCCTTGTAAAAAGTAGATGCTTCTGGTTGTTGACAATATGATAAATTGTATACCTATATATCCACTGCCCTTGTCACGGTCTTCACCTCGACGGCGTATGCGCGCTCGGCCGTTTTTGAGCATGTTTGGCGGAATTTTTCACTTATCATAATTTTATTGGAAAATTAGAATATACATTTTGTAAGTATTATACTCCTACTTTTAAAATCTGGCTGATAAATTAAAATCGGACCACCTACAACATCAGAAATTTTGCAAAATAGTCACCAAAAAATTTTGCCAAAACTAATGGCCCGACAGCGCTGGCTTTGTGCTCACTTAAAGTACATACAATTCACTAGATTTGTGCACATGGTCAACTCCACAACTTCAAAAAGGGCGGAGTAATGAATTAAAAAAAAAAAACGCTACATATTTCGATTTTTCCGGGTTTTCTTCGTTTCTAATTATCATCAGATCGATCGACCTCTAGTTTTATTCGTATTTCGATTCTTTACAAATTGTCTCTTTATAGCATTCAGATTTCTTCGTTAGTTTAGGGTTTATGAGCAAAAAACTAAAAAATACGTTGTTTGCATAAAATTGTTTACACAAAATTAATGTAAATTGGATTAAGAACACATAAGCATATATCTACATACTGTTTTTAATGGCACAGTCCGTTTGCTACTAGTATTTTTGTCACAAACAAAACTTTTATTGATTGGCCTATTTGTTAAACAGGACACTACTATCAAAAAAGGTCTTTCTCGGGTCACTTAGTATTTAAATTATGATATTTTCTTAGCAATGTGTTAACTACAAATAAATCCTGCTCAAGGAACTTTTTAAGAATTTTTATGTTTTAAGATTAAAATGTTTTAATTGTTGTAAACAAATCACAAAACTCAAATTTTACAATGCGATTTTATTTTATAATTAATTGAACACACCGCATATAAAAGGTAACGTTCCTTTACGAGTAAAACTACGAATGTATCATGAAATGAATAGCCTCACATACTGGTGCTCGAATTGAGTCAGTGGATTCCAACTTAACCCAAACAACGATAAACTGCGCCAAAGTTGTTCGCTGCTTAGAGTCGCAGGAATCCATAACTCACAGTTTAGAACATAAATTTTATGCAAAAAGATACAGCTTCATCTACCGACGAGTTTTACCATTTTCTTTCTATAAGAGGACAAAGAGTAATTAGTACATAGCATGTTAACATATTCACACATTAATGAATGTCTCCGAAGTATATTGTCCGCTTCCAAATCATAAATGTTTATATTGAAATAGCGCCTATTCATTGCTTATAACCCAAACAAAGTCGTCTAAGGCTGGTCGGCTGTGTTGAAATTCCAAACGCCAATCTTGTTCCGCTTACAGTCGGCCATCCTGATATTCCTGATTGTCCTCAATCAGGTTAAAACTGGATTCAGAATCCTAATGAACATTAATAAAAATTAGAAAATATGAAAAAGTTTCTGAGCATTTGCAACAGTAAGCATAAAGATACAGGAGTCAAGTACGAGAGTTTAGAAGAATAAAAAACTCAAAGCAATCATAACAAAAAGTGCCACATGTCTAGTAAAATACCCTCTATTCATGCAAAGTATGAACCAACACATGCAAATACGTACTCCCCATAGTGAAACAGGCATGAGACATTATGTGGCAAACATCCACATAGAATCACATCAATCATCTCTTTGGGGCATCTAATAGACGATCATCTATCAGGCATCATGTGTTAAACAATCACATGGAAACATACTAATCATAATCATAATCAAACCTTTATGGGGCATCTCATAGACGAACATCTCTGAAGCATCATGTGGGCAAACATCCACATAGAATCACACCAATCATCCCATAATCAAACCTCGATGGGGCATCTCATAGACGAACATCTATGAAGCATCACGTGGGAAGCACTTACCTGCGCTGCTGTGCTCTTAACAAGTTATCCATGGTTTTAATTTGTCTGTAGCTATAATTGTCGGACTGGTGTTAGCTCTACCACTTATAACCTTAGTAACAGCATGTCTGCATTGGGCAACGCTGCCGTTACCCTGAACGGACCTTTGCACTTTGGAAGTAACTTGCGGGTTTGGCCAGTGCTAGAAGCATCCGTCTTTTGGACCATCACAAGATCCTCAATACTGTACTTATGTACCTTTGTTCGCTTCCTGTCATATCTTTTTTTTAACCGCCTGATCTTGATCTATACGATCTTTAACTTGATTCCGAAAGGAAACTAGATCAGTACGACCCATTTGTTGTTGAATTTCCGACAACAGCATCCTATCAGTGATTCCTCTTGGTTTACTATCGAATAAAACCTCCCCGGGCGTAGTCCTTACGGTCTTGTGAACAATTTTAACTTGAGTGTTCCACATATCATCTGCAACATTTCCAGTAAGGGCTGCTAATGCATCTAACACGGTGCGAACTGTCGGAATTTATGCGACGTAGATGCGGTGCCTCTATCAGTAACTATACAAGTGGGAACACCTAAAACATCAATAATGACTTTCAGACATTTAACCACATGCTTGCTTTTGGTGTTTCGTACAGGCTCAAAAATTGTAAATTTAGTAAACCCGTCGACTATCACTAATAAATATGTATTTCGTTTTTTTTGATTTAATAAAAGACCTAAATGATCGATGTGCACCGTATGGTATGGAACCGTAATTTTTTTTATTGGGTTTAAGAGCCTTTTGCCCGTCTAAGCTTTAATAAAGGCAATTTAAACAAGCATTTACATACTCAGTTACAAACCGATGCAGTTTTTTATATAAAGTTTTTTCTAAACCGAAATGACCTTGGTCGTCATGACATAACCTGCAGATTTGCCATCTGTTTGATCTTGGTACTAACCATTTATTTGTGTTTCCAAGTTTTCGATAAACAACATCACCCTTCAATGTATAATTAGCATGAAAAATTTTATTACTTGGTTGTCGATCTTTAGACCGAAGAATATCTCGAATTCGACATATCTCATTGGCCTGTGATGGAGCCAATCAGTTTCTGTTATATTAATAACAAGGACTTGTTGGGGAATGCGACTTAAACAGTCAATGTGGGCCATTTTGGTCCCAGCTCTATATTCAATTTCAAAATCATAGCCTTAAAGATAAAGCCACTATCTTGCGACTCGAGGAATTATATCCTTTTTAGTAGCAGTACTGTGAATCGCAGTGCAATCAGTTACTAATTTAAACTTAATTCCTACTAAATAAACTCTGAAATGCTTGAAAGATTAGACAACCAGCGTCCAAGGACGTCGTTTGGCGACTAAAATTCGCATTATCATCACTTTGTAACAAGATTCCTGCAATTCCATCCTTGCAGGCATCTTTGTGCACTTCGGTACTCAATGATGGATCGAAAATTTTCAAAATTGTCCGAGTAGTCAAATATGTTTAATAGTTTGGATTGCATGTTCTTGTTCCTGAATCCATTCCTAATTTATATACTTTTTAAGTAACCTGGTAAGGGATTTCACCGTAATAGCAAAGCCCTGAATATATTTTCGGAATAAATTTGCAAGACCTAAAAATTAGCGAATTGCAAATTGCGGTTATTTTCTCTTCGTGAAATAATTGATCAAAATTTAACTTTCCGGCAAACGAAGTTTTTAATAAATGTTCCCACTGAACCCATGAATACTACGAACACATTCATTTACTTTATTTAACCAGTCAGTAACATTTTGGTTATCATCGCTTGGGTCAAAATCAGATAATAATCTGTCATCTTTATAAAGTGTCCAATTTGGTCTTTGTACGATTTTATCTGCAAAAATGAGCCTGCACTTACCCTCTCACGCAAATGGTCTATCTATTTTTGCATGTTTTCCACTGTCAATGTGGTGTGTGGGACCTTTGTAACAGCTCTACATCAGAGCTATGCACCATGGCTCTGAAGGTACTGGGTGTTGGGGTTGATAATGCTTCACCGTGTCCGTTCATGATTCACAACAAAACTAAGTCAGTGATATTCTCACTTATTTATTTGATATTTTTTATTTAATTTTTTGTATTTGTTCTTTATCCCACATCCGAGATGTAAGAAAATTAAATACTAACAATGAAACTAAAAAAACTGGTAATATATTAGACGAAGAGTAATTAGTACATAGCGTGTTAACATATTCATTATACAGGGTGTCCCGAAATTAATGGGACACAGAGCAAGAGTAGATTCCTTACATCAAAATAATGCGATTAAGCCAAACTTACCTTGGTCCATTTGTGACTAATAAAAAAGTTACAGGGCGTTAAAGTTGAAATTTTGAATTCGAAATTCTTAAAATTCTTAGAAAGTTTTCAAAGGATTCTTTTGAAATTTTGGATTAGGGGGTTTTCTGGGACGAGAAAAACGAATCCGTACTTAATTTTGCTGTAGACGCTAGAGGGCGCTACGAAATGTACTCTTGGTTGATAAAAACTGGTTATAAATTTTTTATTCGTGTGTGTACGAAAGTTTTAATAGAAAAATATTGTTCTCCTATCTATTTTTCACAAATAAGGGATACTTGTTTTATGTCGATCAATTTAACCTGTATATTAATGAATGTCTCCGGAGTATATCCGCTTCCAAATCACTAATGTTTATATTGAAATAGCACCTATTCATTGCTTATAACCCAAAGTCGCCTAAGGCTGGCCGGCTTGTTGAAATTCTAAAGGCCAATCTTGTACTTCTTACATTTCTATCTAAGCTTCGTTGTTTTGTTTTCTTATATTCAAATATTGAAGGCAAAGTAGCAGTTTTGCTTTGCGACTATTAACAAATAACATTGTTTTAGGCTCTTTTGGAAGAAAGTCCCAGTTTGCGACCGTATCCAGTGATCAGACATGTAGAATTTATAATTTAGCCGACGGTGAGGCACTTCTAACATTAATATTCAATGAAGTGTTGACTGCCACTGTTTTTGATGCACCTTGTTGGCAGTTATTTGTGGGTAATAATAATGGATCCATCCATCAGTTCAGTTTAAAAAATCCTCCAAGGAAACTTTACCATCACATTGAAGGAAAGAGCAGCTTAGTTTTTGGAGGCCCCAAAGGAAAAGTTGTATGTTTGGCAATAAATATTACCAATACTGTTTTAGCTTCCGGCAGTAACAATAATTTAGTGTGTATATGGGAGATAAAAAGTCGACAGATAATGAAACGAATTGAACACAAAGGTTCTATAACTAACATTAAGTTCGTATTAGGCTATCATAACTTTTTTTCAGAGAAATTGAAGCCTTGTGCGATTTTAAAGAGTTTAGAAAGGAGTATTAATTTGTCTGATACTAAGTTTACATTATCACAAATGCAAGTATGTGATTTAAATTTCGATGATGATGAAAAATCATTGGAAAGGGAACATTCTTATAAGAATTTATCAAAAGAGAATATGAAGTTGCGTTGTATAAATAGGCAGTTGTACAATGCAGCTTTAGAAATAAGCAAAAAATATAACTCGGTTTGAATAATTTTTAGGGTGAAATTTGTAAAATGGCTTATTTGTAATTATTTCTTAATTATCTTTGAAATTTGTTAAAGTTCAAAAAATACTTCCTTTAAAAACAGTTTTGTAAATATCTGTGGCATATGTAGTATGTAGTACAGTATTTTCCTAAGTTCTAGGTTTTCCTTTTTTTATGTAAAGATATTTTGTAAGTTTTGCATAAAATTTTTAAAATAATGAGTTTTATATCCAGAAGCAATTATCTTTAGTAGTAAAATGAAGTAAATGTTCAAAATCATTTTGTGGTAATGCATGTTTAAGATAAATTTCGTCTTATTTATGTAACAATATGAATACTTCTAATTGCAAGGATTACCTTGATTAGATTGGCCAATTGCCCCAATGAATGATGCCAACCTTCCTTCCGCTTTTTGATTTCTGCATCGATATTGTCCAGTTCAACGGATGTTGTGTTTTGCTTTGTTTAGAATTTAAACGACTGACTTTTTATAAGCTTTTATTGTTCGATGATTGCCTGGTGAAAAGCGAAGTACACTACGCTGTCTGCTTATATACTGACTCGACTGTCGCCGATCTAACGCTTGCCTTTTCCTCTCCTCTCTCCGGACAACCTTCGACTTCCTTAAATGCATATTTAACACAGTATGATAATATACGATATAAGTTTAGTGTACAATCAAATACAAGAAATAAATACAAAATACATTTTAATGAACAAAGTTAAAATAATTCTCTTCTTAACATGCCCCTCACCTTGGAAAATCTTAAGGGGCTTTAAAAAAACTTATGTCGTTCATCACAAGGACATTCGATGGTTCATCAATTGAAAGTGGGCATATTCGTGCAAAAGACCTCTTCACTTCGCCGTCTTGTGTTTGTAGTGTGGCAACTCGACTGATTCCATCGCGACCAGAATGTAGCTCTATGACTTTACCTAATTTACATTTTAAAGATGGACTTCCATCTTCTTTCATAACACACAGTATATCTTCTTTTAGTGTTGTCTGATTTTTTTCTCCACTTGTCTCGCTGTTGGAGCTCGGAAATGTATTCCTTCTGCCATCTGCTCCAGAAATGCTGCATACGTTGTTGGATCAGCTGCCATCTCGTTAGTCTGTTTACGGGAATTTTTTGGTAGTCGTGGTCAGGCAGACTGGTAATAGGTCGTTCAATTAAGAAGTGTCCCGGGGTCAAAGGCATTAAATCGGATGGTTCTGATGATAGAAGAAAAAGTGGACGGGAATTCAATTTCCCTTCGATTTGCACGAGCAGCGTATTGAATTCCTCGAAAGTGAGGTGGGCGTTCTCGAATACTCTTTTTAAATGCCTCTTACGGGACTTTACTCCGGCTTCCCACAAACCTCCGAAATGTGAGGAGTAGGGTGAAATAAATTTCTATTCAATATTATCTTTATCTAGTTCGGATTTTATTTTATTTTCACTTTTTACTAGACATTCACTTAACATTTTCATTTCTGACCAGCCCGATTTAAAATTACTCACTCCCGTTGTCGGACATTATTACAGCTGGGCGGCTGAGTCGCGATGGTAGTCTTCTCAGTGCCATTAAAAAACAGTATTTACTCAGGTATTAGCTCTAAATGGCAAGCCTTTGTCACCAAACATACAAAAAGTCCAATATAACATTTATATAGTTTGCCGCCTCGTCTGTTTTTATGTTTAATTAGAAAAGGCTGCTCTGGCTGGAGACGCAATGAAGGTAATTGACCCTACATTGGTTGAATAGTCGTCGGGTTTTGCCGAAAACATGGAATACATCGATGTACGATTTTCTTTGCAAGATTCCGTCCTAACACTGGCCAAAAGTTTTCGCATATTGATGCCAGCAATTGCTGCGGACCTGCGTGCAGTAATCTTTTATGTTCATTTTCGAATATAAGTTTGGTAAGATGATGCTTGGCGCATAGAATTATTGTTTTTCATCTATTGGAAACTTTGAGTTTTCCAATTGTCCTCCAACTCTTAAGATGTTGTCAGAATCCAAGTAAGGATTAAGATTTAGAATTCTGCTTTAACTATCTAACTCATTGTTTTTCGTTAGTTGGTGAATTTCTTGCGAAAATGATTCGTTTTGTGCGACTTTTATAAGAGCCTTGAATGCACATTTGACTTCTGATAGTGATAAAAAATCGAAATTACGATCGGAACTTGACTTAAGGCAATTACTTCGAAATCTGAAGATCCAAGCAACTACTCGTTTGATTTTATTTAATTGGGAACATTTTAGAAATGGAAAAGTAGTTTTGTTGCTTAAAAGAAATGTATTAACATGTAATTTAATATCTGCAATATTACACTGGTTGGGCGCCATTTCCTTGCTACTAAGTAATGTATCTGGCCATTGTGTTTCATCTGGTGCCAGAAATCTAGGTCCATGCCACCAGATATCTAGATTGTGTATTTGACTTGGTTTAACGCCACGTGATAAATAATCTGCAGGATTTTCTGCAGCGGGAATATGACGCCATTCATCAGATGCCGTTAATTGCTGAATTTCGCTAACTCGATTACTTACGTAAGTTTTTAGTTTATTCGGAGGAAGTTTTAACTAACTCATAACTATAATTGAATCCGACCAGAATGTGCGTTTATCTTTTTTAAATCGCAGAGCCTTTGACACCTTGTCAGTTAATCGTGATAAAATTAACGCCCCCGCAAGCTCCAACCTTGGTAAAGATACCGTCTTTAATGGCGTGACTTTTGTTTTGGACGTTATTAAGTGTACTGAGATTAACCCGTTTTGATTTTCATATCTTAAATATAAACATCCTCCATATGCCTTTTCTGACGCGTCAGCTAAACGGCGGAGTTCTATACGTTTTGGATTTACGATAAGAATATGTCGACTTATTTTAATTGAATTTAGAAGGGGGAGCTCAGAACGAAAGGTGGACCAACGAGTATGGATGTATTGTGGAAGAGTTTCATCCCAATTAACCTTTTTTAGCCACAGTTGTTGTAACAACATTTTTGCACTGATAATACACGGGCTTAACAGACCTAACGGGTCGAATATTTGTGCAGTGGTTGAAAGAATAGTGCGTTTCGTAATCTTTCCGTCGGTTATTGATGGATTTACATTGTACATTAAAACATCTTTAGATGGGGACCACGTTAAACCAAGCGTTTTCGCATTTTCAGTTATTCCAAATTCAATAATTTTGTTTGGTACACCATCCTCAGTTACGTATCTCAGTACTTCAGGGTCATTTGCCTTAATATATCTGTGACACGTCGAACGATCTGAGCGGCTTTTATTCAGCCAGTTCCATAAGACTGCAAGAAAGGGTGCCGATGTTGTTCCGTAAGTGACTGTATTGAGTTCATAGACTTCAATTTCATCTTCGGGATTTTCCCTCCAAAGAATCCTCTGTAAACACAAACATTTTAGAAATGTCTGCAGAAACAACGTATTGATGCTGTCTGAAACGTAGGAGTATTGCCACTAGTTCATTTTGTACAGTCGGACCTGTCATCTGCAGATCATTGAACGAATATCCACTGCTAGAAGGAGCTGATGCATCAAAAACGACACGTACGGGCGTTGTTAAACTATCTTCACGTATTACGCAATTATGAGGCATGGAGTAAGTTATTTGATCCTCCTCATCTTGGCCTTGAACCATTGTCATGTGTCCCAGCAGTTTGTATTCGTTTATAAAATCTACATACTGGCCTTTTATTAGATCCGGCTTTGACTTTAGTCTTCGCTCCAATGTTAAAAACCTTTTTGTATGCTCATAAAAATCGCCTAGTTGTTTTATAGTCTTTTATCGTGACAATAAATCTGCCATCCTCTGAGCGTTTAATATTTTCTTTGAAGTGGGTTTCACATTCTATTTCTTGTTTAGTAAACAACCTTGTACCCTTGCATTCTTCGTCTTTACCTGGCTGGAAGAATGATGGATCCGTCAATTTTATATTTTTTGGTATATTTACCTAATTTAGAAGTATTGATTGTCATATTCGGCAAATTGCCTGTAATTTGTGGCAATATAAAGCAAGGGAAACTGACCGAGTAATAATTACTCTCTTCATACCAATTTTTGGTATGAAGAGATTGAATAGTGACTTCACATTTGGCTTCAATTCTCGATAATGCCTTGTTTAGTCCAAGTACCGCCATATTTGCCTTTACACTTGGTAAATTCAACGTTCGTACAAATCCTGAGTTGTGTAACTGGATTGTGACCCTGCGTCCAAAATTACCCGCACAGTATGTGACTTTTATAAGAATCTAATATATTAACGTAACCTGTTGATAACAACATATACGGTTCTTGAATACTCGTACAGGCAGAAAGTGCAACATTATCCTGCGTATTTTTAACTTCGTCTGGGTTTGTTTTTCCATTTGAGTCATCTTTGTGCAATAATGTATGGTGCTTTTGTTGGCACTTTCTGCACGTACCTCGCCGACAAACCTTAATGTCAGGTCCTGGTCTTAGGCAGTTAGTACAGAGTTTTAAATTGCTTGCTTTATCACATTTTTCTTTGTTTGTAAGTGTTAAAAATTCGGAGCAATTTTGAATGTAATGTTCCTTTGAACAAACATGACATTTTGGCTTGAACTGACTTTGCTGTGTAGCTAATAATTCCCTTATACTGCTGGCTTTCATTTTGACTTAATTGTAATGTTTCCAAGAGATCGGCCCTAGATTTTATAAATGATTTTAGGCCCTCAAGCGATGGGACGTCTTTGCCTGCTTTGTAATTTTCCCATTCCCTTGATGTGACCGGGTCTAACTTTGAAACGACCATGAAAACAATTAAGGTGTCCCAGTTGTCTGTGGGTTGTTCCAGTGCTCGTAGATGTTTTAGCACAATATCTATGACTTTTCGTAACACACCAACGGACTCTTTTAGACACATGTTCAATAGAGAATAATGGATTTACATGGTTATGAACTAATAACCTATTATTATCGTACCTGTCCAGTAAAGAACTCCACGCTATTTCATAATTTGTTGCCGTAAATTCTAAAGATTTGATTACTTGTCCCGCTCCGCCTTCCAATGACGCACGTAAATAATGGAATTTTTGTATGTGGTTAATAGTTTCATTTTTGTGTATTAGACTTATAAGTATCTCGAAACTCCAACCAGCCAGAATACTGTCCGTCAAATTTAGGTAATTGAATCGCAAGTAATTTTGTATTACATGGAGAAGCGTGAATTGACCCTCCATTTACACTTTGCGCGTCATGCAATGAACTAACCGAGCCTTGATCAGAACCTACTTTTTTATTACATTTTTTTTAAATTTTCTTTGCTAATGAAATTTGTTGATAAAAATGCCTTTCAAATTTATCCCTTTTTCCGAGTTCTTTTTCTATGTCTTCCTCTTCTACAGCACTTTCTATTCTAGTGTGAATTAACATTTCAATTTTGTTTAGACGTTCACTTAATTGTATAATTTCTAAATCCGTTATGTCCAGGGCCGGATTGGCAGGTCGGGCGATCGGGCGATCGGGCGATCGCCCGAGGCGCCGCCTGTTCAACAATCCGGCGCGCCGCAATAAACTATCAGTACAGACTACAGTACAAATGAATCGCCGGCGTCGCCCGAATATAACATGCAGTCACGTATGTAGTATGCGAA